AATCCTCGTACTCATATGTCGAAAGGTTGTGTACAGAGTCCGGTAGAAGTGATTTTTCTCAAAAGAAAGTCTTGGAGAAGGTAGCACGGGATCTATTTAACCTGACTAGATGGCGGTGTGATATGTGATTGAGTTGTTTTATCTAGCCAGTGCCTGGTGTTTGGCTGTTTGTACCTTTTTTCGTTCTTTTTCATGACCTTGAGAATGTTGTTTACTTGAGGCTTAATATGGATGGTGTATGCATCGTGTAACACAAAGGTCGAGAAAAACCTTCTTTTTACAGAAGTAAGTCAGACGCATATGCATCTTTAGACTACCTTGGTATCTCACTCAACTCTAGTACCAGCTCTGATGCCTGCTCACGACTAAATTTTCCTAAGCAAAAAAACAATTTTGTGGGGGTAATCTACTCTAATTGACCCCTCAGATGACCTAACTGCCAATACCATTTTGTGACAAAAAAAGTCATTGTCTTCACCATTGATATCATCAAGCCCACTTCCATGTCCACCATTAGACCTGCGCTGTTGTAGTTCTCCGATTAGGATCCCCCTCCCCTCTATTCAAGGATTTTCTACACCCGTTTGCTCATCAAGTATTGGAAAACCTGGAATATGAAGCTCCCCATTTCTTTTTCTTCATATAATCAGGTTGTTGTATTTCATGGAAACAGGATTACAATCTACTAAGGACGTGTTTGGTACTCCTCCGTGGCCGCGAAATCCTGAACTCCACAACCAGCTTCAGATCGCCACCTTCTCACGAGAGAGCCGAGATCTAGGGATCTGTTCGGCTAGATGGCTTCTCGCTCACACAAGGAGCGAACCTGAAGCACGTCATATTGCCCTTCCGTGGCCCATTCAGATCATAGGCATTGTAGCAGGCTAATGATGTCTACTACACAACCTTTTTCTTGTAGATGTTGTTGGGCCTCCAAGTGCAGAGATTTGTAGGACAGTAGCAAAATTCCCTCAAGTGGATGATCTAAGGTTTATCAATCCGTGGAAGGCGTAGGATGAAGATGGTCTCTCTCAAACAACCCTGCAACCAAATAATAAAGAGTCTCTTGTGTCCCGAACACACCCAATACAATGATAAATTGTATATGTGCACTAGTTCGGCGAAGAGATGATGATACAAGTGCAATATGGATGTTAGATATAGATTTTTGTAATCTGAAATTATAAAAACAGCAAGGTAATTAATGATAAAAGTGAGCGAAAATGGTATTGTAATGCGTTGAAACAAGGCCTAAGGTTCATACTTTCATTAGTGCAAGTTTTCTCAATAATAATAATATAATTAGATCATATAACTATCCATCAACATGCAACAAAGAGTCACTCCAAAGTCACTAATAGCGAAGAACAAAAGAAGAGATTATTGTAGGGTACGAAACCACCTCAAAGTTATCCTTTCTGATCAATCTATTCAAGAGTCCGTAGTAAAATAACACGAAGCTATTCTTTCCGTTTGATCTATCATAGAGTTCGTACTAGAATAACACCTTAAGACACAAATCAACCAAAACCCTAATGTCACCTAGATACTCCAATGTCACCTCAAGTATCCGTGGGTATGATTATACGATAGAGGGGTCTCCGGGCTGTCCACGAGGTGTATATAAGAGGTTTTGGCGTCGGGGACAAGTCAGGGGGGTCTCCGGGCTGTCCACGAGGTAGGGAGGCGCGCCCAGGGGGGTGGGCGCGTCCCCCACCCTCGTGGGCAGCCCGGGACTCTTTTGGCCCAACTTTTTTACTCCATGTCCTTTTTCTGGACCAAAAATAAGTTCCGTGAAGTTTCAGGTCAATTGGACTCCGTTTGGTTTTCCTTTTCTGCGATACTCAAAAACAAGAAAAAAACAGAAAACTGGCACTGGGCTCTAGGTTAATAGGTTAGTCCCAAAAATCATATAAAATAGCATACAAATGCTTATAAAACATCCAAAATTGATAATATAATAGCATAGAACAATAAAAAATTATAGATACGTTGGAGAGGTAACGTATTAGTTAATAGTCCAAACAGTGTGAGAATGATGGGATGGCCCATAGGGCTGGTCGGCTATAACTGTTTTAGCAAGAAAATAATAGCTCGTGCAGGGTGTGGAGGAGAAAGGATGAGCGAATCAGTCCGAGAGGGGCTCACTTGGTGGTGGCAGGGACTGGTAATATACCCTCTACTCCCGCTTCCCAGTTTTGGAGGAGCCGGGATTTCTCAACTCCACAACTCCTCAAATATTACACTGTGTTTTTAGCTAGCTTCCCACGCCCATAACAAGGAATTGAACCGTTCGGATGCACTCCACAACTGAAGTTGCGGATTTGAGAAGCGGGAGGGTTCCCGAACACGCCCTAACACAAGAGCATGTGTGGAAGGGGGGTTGGCCTTCCTCATACCCCCTCCCCCCTTTCCTTTAAATAGAGTTAGTTCCATCCTCAGTCGCCCCGAGACAAAGATGGTGAGAAGCATTGCGACCGCCGTGTCGTGTCCGCCCAACTTCCATGGCGGTGTCCCCGGCGCTGATGGTTGAGGCTATCCCCGAGAGAAAGGAGGCGGGCCATCCCCGGATTTCGTGCGCGGTGCGTTCCATTAGTCCCATATATACACGCATAGAAGTAGGAAAAAAATGGCACCGATCCGTTTTGGTAGGCACAAGCCCCGGTTTTTAATCGGCAGACAAGATGGAGATCCATGATGCACATTTGAGTGAGGTGGTAGTGGTTCGTAGCAGATGAAAGGTTTCCATGATTGGGCGGCGTTGTTAGATTTCGTTTGCCATGCATGCATGGCTGGAGCGCCGAAAAAAGAAAAAGGAAATCCGCCGTGCACGCACGCGCTGCCTTGCGCCCAAAAATAAACCGACTGCTTGACGTCGTGAGCAGTTTCCGCTTCAGTTAACCCACATATGTGCATCTCCAGACCACGCCAGCTGCGGCAGTTCTTCACCCGGAGATCTTTTTTTTTCCCTTTCAGAGAATGTTCTTCACCCGAAGCTAGAACCCACTTGAGTTCACCCGACCCGTGCCGTTTCGGTCGTGCCGCGGTGAGCACGTCTGGAACTCTGTTCCTCCACGTAGACAAGTTCGAGCGGGCATCGTTCCACGAGTCACGGGGCCCCACCGTCTGTAGTAATTCGCAACAGTACAGCTGCTAGAATCGAACAAGGCAAAGTGGGACTCGACGTCCAATTGAATATATTCTCAAGAGTAAGTACGTACAGAGCACCCAATTTTTCCATGCTCCCATCTCGTGCAAAAGCGACAAGCAGAGAGGGAGATGAGTCTCGTGGAGGCCGAGACCGGTTCCGTCCCGTTCAGACTCGACACATCTGTCGTTCCGAGGCGGCCCACCGCGGAGTCAAAGAATGATTGACCCGGCGCTACCGCTCTCTAAAATACTCCTCCATCAGGGCCCCCACGCTGGATATCGTATCATTAGCCGGAAACTGTCCCCGACAGCCGGGGCCCGCGCCGCACCGATCGCCATCTACAATCGGCCGGGGAGACCACCCATCGAGTCGGGTCGGGTCGACGAGAGGCCCCTCCCGACCGCACGCGCTGCCTGGGAGGGAAGGGAATACGACGCGAACCGCTACCGTCCGGCCCGGCGTCCAGCTGTGGGCACGATCGACCGACGTGGCGATGCTTAGCGCTAAAGACTAACGAGCATGCCAGGTGTGCTGCCGATGATGCCACGAAACGAGATGACACCTGTGCAGCGCGCGGCCTCCGGCGTCCAGCTAATGGCACCATCGACGTGGCGATGCTGGGAGTATGTATGCCACGAGTTCTGACGTTAGTTTTTTTTTTGAGAAAAGTTCTGACGTTAGTTTTTTTTACTGTTTCGAGTTTGATTTTTCACCACGGCTAGCGCCTAGCGCATGGCGCCTACGGTAGCGGGAGTAAATACCATGAATGCATCCGTCGGTCGCCCGTCAGTCGGTTCCGTGGCGTGCACCGAGTTTTGGCAACAAAGTTACTCCTCCTACGCTCTCCCGGCCCCGGTGCCTTAACTGCCGCAGTTACGTGAAGTGTCGCCTCAGGCAGGCAGGCTCCATCACACACGCAAAATGAATGAACCAGCCCACGCGCGGCCGAACGAAACCCATGACCTCACCGCCGGCCCAAGCAAACCCTCGCCTCGTACACGCGCCGCGAGCGCGGACGGCGTGACGCGAGTGAAGAAGCCCGGCCGCCCAAATTCAAAATCAACGGTCGCCCTGCCCCGGCGGAAATTCAAAACCAGGCCGACGGCTGCTCCTTGTGCCCTCCAGCTCACCGCCAGCGTCCGGCCGTCCGGTGCCGCCCATCACTGACTCACCCACGCCCCACACCCACCCTACATAAACCCCGGCACCCCCGCTGCTCTCGCCACGACACGGCCACGGCCACTCCACTTCACTCTCCTCCCACCTTCTCCATCCCCCAGCTGCCGCCCACCCAAATCAAAATCGGCTCCACCTCCGGAGTACCTCGGCACGCCGTCCATCCACCCACCCGGCTCGCGTGCGTGCCATGAGGACCCTCGTGGCCGTGGCCGTCCTCCTCCTCGTGGCGCAGCTGCTGGGCGCGTGCCATGGGCAGGAGCAGCGGAAGAACTACGTGGTGCACCTCGAGCCGAGGGACGACGAGGGGAGCGCGGCTGTCCCGGTCGAGGACTGGCACCGCTCCTTCCTGCCGGAGGCCGCGCCGAGCTCCGCCGGCGACGGCGGGGCGGACGCCGGGCCCAGGCTCATCTACTCCTACAGCCACGTGCTCACCGGGTTCGCGGCGCGGCTCAGCGACGCCGAGGCCGACGCGCTGCGGGGCAGGCCGGGCTGCATCAGGCTCTACCCGGAGGTCTTCCTGCCGCTGGCCACCACCCACTCGCCGGGCTTCCTCGGCCTGCAGACCGGCAAGGACGGCTTCTGGAGCCGCTCTGGGTTCGGCCGCGGCGTGGTGATTGGGCTCGTCGACACCGGGATACTGCCTAGTCACCCCTCCTTTGGGGACGCCGGGATGCCGCCGCCGCCCAAGAAGTGGAAGGGCGCGTGCGAGTTCAAGGCGATTGCCGGCGCGGGGGGTTGCAACAACAAGGTCATCGGCGCGCGCGCGTTCGGCAGCGCCGCCGTCAACGACACGGCCCCGCCCGTCGACGACGCCGGCCACGGCACCCACACGGCCAGCACGGCGGCCGGCAATTTCGTGGAGAACGCTGATGTCCGTGGCAATGCGCACGGCACGGCCTCCGGGATGGCGCCGCACGCGCACCTGGCCATTTACAAGGTGTGCTCGCGCAGCCGGTGCTCCATCATGGACGTCATCGCCGGCCTCGACGCCGCCGTCAAGGACGGGGTGGACGTGATCTCCATGTCCATCGACGTCTCGGACGGCGCGCAGTTCAACTACGACCTCGTCGCCGTCGCCACGTACAAGGCGATTGAGCGTGGCATCTTCGTCAGCGCCGCCGCCGGCAATGCCGGGCCGGCCGCCGGGAGCGTCTCCAACTGCGCGCCGTGGATGCTCACGGTCGCGGCAGGCACCACGGACCGGGCGATACGCACGACGGTGAAGCTCGGCAACGGGCAGGAGTTCGACGGCGAGTCCCTGTTCCAGCCCCACAACAACTCCGCCGGGCGCCCGCTCCCGCTCGTGTTCCCCGGCGCCAGCGGCGACCCGGACGCCCGCGGCTGCAGCTCCCTCCCCGACTCGGTGAGCGGCAAGGTGGTGCTCTGCGAGAGCCGCGGCTTCAAGGAGCACGTCGAGCAGGGCCAGACCGTGAAGGCGTACAGCGGCGCCGGCATGATCCTGATGAACAAGCCGGAGGAGGGGTACACCACCTTCGCCAACGCGCACGTGCTGCCGGCGTCGCACGTCAGCAACGCCGCCGGCTCGAAGATCACCTCCTACTTCAAGTCCACGCCCAACCCCACGGCGAGCATCACCTTCAAGGGCACGGTGCTGGGCATCTCCCCCGCTCCGACGGTGGCCTTCTTCTCCTCCCGCGGGCCGAGCAAGGCCAGCCCGGGCATCCTGAAGCCGGACATCAGCGGGCCGGGGATGAACATCCTCGCCGCGTGGGCGCCGAGCGAGATGCACCCGGAGTTCGTCGACGACGTGAGCCTGGCCTTCTTCATGGAGTCCGGCACGTCCATGTCCACCCCGCACCTGAGCGGCATCGCCGCCGTCATCAAAAGCCTGCACCCGAGCTGGTCCCCGGCGGCGATCAAGTCGGCGCTCATGACCTCCTCGGACCCCGCGGACAAGGCCGGCGTGCCGGTCAAGGACGAGCAGTACCGCCGGGCGAGCTTCTTCACCATGGGCGCCGGGTACGTGAACCCGTCGCGCGCCGTGGACCCGGGCCTGGTCTACGACCTCTCGCCCAACGACTACATCCCGTACCTGTGCGGGCTGGGCTACGGCGACGACGGCGTGAAGGAGATCGTGCACCGCCGCGTGGACTGCGCCAAGCTGAAGCCCATCACGGAGGCGGAGCTCAACTACCCGTCGCTGGTGGTGAAGCTGCTGTCGCAGCCGATCACCGTCCGCCGCACCGTGAAGAACGTGGGCAAGGCGAACTCCGTGTACACGGCGGTGGTGGACATGCCGAAGGAGGTGTCGGTCACGGTGCGCCCGCCCATGCTGCGGTTCTCCAAGGTGAATGAGAGGCAGAGCTTCACGGTGACCGTGCGGTGGGCCGGGACGCAGCCGGCCGTCGCCGGCGCCGAGGGGAACCTCAAGTGGGTCTCCCCCGAGCACGTCGTGCGGAGCCCCATCGTGGTGCCGCCGGCCAAGGTGGTCGTCTAAATCGGTAGGGAGGGGTTGAGCTCTCGGCGTTGCTCGCAGGCGTGCGTGACAGAGGGGAAGAGCATTGCGTTGTATAGGGTGGCGCGGTCGATTAATTAGGCGCGTTCGTACTTCGTCGAGCGCCGCCGCCATTGCGACGGCGCAGCAAGCTCGGCTGCGACGTTTGCCATGGCGGCGGGTGTATAGTGCAAATAATGGAATTTAATTAACCCGTAAAATGTAGCAACATCTGACGACTGTTCCATTGCATTGCACACTGGCAAGAGACCGATCGAAAACATAGCATTTCACTCCGATTCTTTCTTCAGATAGAAAAAACAGAGCGTTTCTCTTCTTCTTCAGACAAAAACAGAGCATAGTGCATCTCCCACAGCACTATAGAAGGCCAGTGGCATCATCTGACTGTTCCACTGCACTTGCACATCGGGAGGAGCACATTTCATTTCTTACTTTGGATCTTACAAAAAAAAATACAATTTCTTTCTTGAGGAATGAACAGAGTGCTCGTTTCTTCTTCAGACAAAAACAGAGAATCCGACTGCCCGTAGGGGTTAGGCAACCGTTCGGACTGGTGGTATTGAGGACCACAACCTTCAAAGATGGGAGGGTACAGTACATGCATACTGTGATTATTAATCCAACGCGCTTAGGGATGAATGAGATGACACACAGTGGCTTTGGCCTTTATTTTTTCAGTTTTGCTAGAACTCATCTAGATGAGATATAATTTGGTCTCATTCACCTTTTATAGCCATTGAATGTGATGCTATAAGATGCGTGCGTACTGACATGGGTTGTATCTGTTCTTGTTTCAAAGTGAATGAGACCAAATTATATCTCATCTAGATGAGTTCTAGGTACTCCCTTATTTTTTTTATCGTTTATGCCATTGGTTATGTCTCACTATTCAGCTTTGCCACTAGAAAATTTAGTTGCATAAAAATGGCATTGCTTCGTTAGGCGATTGCTCAAAATGCCACTGTAAACCATTACTGTCAATTCAAATCTTGTTTGTCATGTTATAATGACAAAAATACCTATAGACCAATATGTTAGCCTTTTCTGTATCTCACCACAATAAAGTGTGGGTCTCACTTGATCCCAACAATGTTCTTATTTTTCTCTAAAATTATTCGCTAGCTTACTCCTAACAAGTGGGGTCCACACTTATCTTTGTGAAATAGAAAAAGCTGACATGTGGGTATAGGGGTATTTTCATCATATAACATGGTCAACAAGTTTGACCTGACTATAACGATGTGTAATGGCATTTTCGAGCAAACATCTAATGGAATGGTGGCAATTTTTAGATAGCTAATGGCATTTTTAAGCAAGCATCTCACAGAAAGATGTCATTTTTGAGGAGTTGTAACTTTTGATGGCAAAATTGAGTAGTGTGACACAATTAATGGCATAAATGATAAAAACCCTAATTTTTTATTAGAGAAAAGGCGTCGGCCGAGCCCGAGGGAAGGCCCGAACCTAGTCCGACTTTGAATTCATAAAGCCATCAACCGGTTAGGATTACAAAGACAACACGATAAAGAGTAACTGAAAACAAAAGGGAACAAAGATACAAGGTGCTAAGTGTAACGACTCAAAGGCAACAAAAACACCGTTGCCATCAACCACAACTACACCACAACCAGCAAACCTAACTAAGGCCTCTGGAGGAGGACAACATTGGGCATGTGTCATGCCGCTGACCGCGTCCAAAGGATCAGGCATGAGCAACACTAGGTTTGTCTTGGCGGCCGCAAAGGGTCACAACCCTTTCACTCAAGCTCGATGAGTGCGCAACGGCGGCTGGCAGAGTGGTTCCCACTGGAACCCAGTCCGAGGCGCCCAAGCTACCAAAGGGGAACAATAGAGGAAGATCCAGTGGCAGGGTAACCGACCATAAGTACACCACCGCCGACAGTGGCAAGACAGAACATCGGTCGAGAGTTGTCGATCGAAGGTGTAGAACCACGTCAAAGGTCGAAAATGGCAATGCCATACGACAGTCAAGGATTGGAATCGCATCAGCCCAAGGTTCCACTAGACAACCTACCACCGGCACCTAAAGAGGACCCTGTTCCCCTCGCTCCACGGGCGTTCAACATCAGCGGGAGGGACCCTTCGGTCCAGGAACCACACAGGCTGCCGACGAGAGGGCCAGACCATCTCACGCCGCTACCGTACCACCACCAGCTCCACCACCACAAGAGCAATCCCCGAACGACCCCTTCGGGAAGAAGCATATCACCATGTGTGTGATGTCGCCTGACAAGGGAGAGCAAGTTTTCACATGCGCTCAAGGGTGAGTGGGAGGGAGAGAATCTACACCAGCCTCAAGGAAGGAGAAAGGCGTCAGAAGGCATCGTCTTTGGTGTGGCTGTTGGGGACTGTCGGTGTCAAAACCGGCGGATCTCGGGTAGGGGGTCCCGATCTGTGCGTCAAGGCTGATGGTAACTGGAAGCAAGGGACACAGATGTTTACCCAGGTTCGGGCCCTCTCGATGGAGGTAAAACCCTACTTCCTGCTTGATTAATATTGATGATATGGGTAGTACAAGAGTAGATCCACCACGAGATCGTAGAGGCTAAACCCTAAGAGCTAGCCTATGATGGTATGATTGTAATTGTGATCGGCCTTCTAAGGACCAACCCCTCCAGTTTATATAGACACCGGAGAGGGCTAGGGTTTACCTGGAGTCGGTTACAAGGAAGGAAACATAATATCCGGATCGCCAAGCTTGCCTTCCACGCCAAGGAAAGTCCCATCCGGACACGGGCCGGAGTCTTGAGTCTTGTATCTTCACGCTTCAATAGTCCGGACGTTGTACACAGTCCGGCTGTCCGGATACCCCTTAATCCAGGACTCCCTCAGTAGCCCCTGAACCAGGCTTCAATGACGATGAGTCCGGCGCGCAGTATTGTCTTCGGCATTGCAAGGCGGGTTCCTCCTCCGAATACTCCAAAGTGGTTATCGAACACGTAGACCGTGTCCGGATCGGTAAGATGATCTTCACGTGGTATAGATCTGATTTGCTGGCAATCTTCGTGCGTCGTGCCCTTGCATTGTGGCTCGGTCCAACGCGAACCGACGCTTCCTGCCCCAGAATGACTCGTGTTACGAGGCGGTTTTATTGGCACGTCCCGTCGAGGCAGAGATCGTGTCCCTTTTATTACGGGATTTTCCATCAATATGAGCGCGCGTGACCCCACGACGGCTGTTGGTATAACCCCGTGTGTTTTTAGATAAGCCTCAAATGGTCACACCGGGGACTCTTGATATTCACCTTCTTTATAAAGGGGTCGAGACCTACGCCTCTTTTTTTCACCTTCATCGCACCTTCTCGCACCTTGAGTTCTAACACCCAAAACCTAAGCTCCACTCCTCCGGAATCCTCCAATATGTTCGGATATGACCCTCAAGGCCGGTGGGTGGCCTCCTTGATTGAAGAGAAGGACATTGCAAAGCTTAGGGAGGTCGGATACCTGACCGCAGATATCCAGCACAGGCTTCCTGCCCCAGGGCAGGTCATCCCCACGCCGGAGCCCAATGAGTGTGTTGTTTTCGTCCCACACTTCCTCCGCGGTTTGGGTTTCACCCTCGATCCCTTCGTGAGGGATCATGTTCTATTATGGGTTGGATTTTCATGATCTGGATCCAGACGCTATCCTCCATATCTCGTCGTTCATTATTGTGTGCGAGGCTTTTCTCCACATCACCCCGCACTTCGGCTTATGGCTCAAGACCTTTAATGTGAAGCCGAAGATGATCGGGGGGCGACATGTGGAGTGCGGAGGTGCCGTAATAAGCAGAAATGCCAACGCCCCATGGCCGGAGGGTCCTTTCCCAGAAGTATCCGATTTATGTCAGCGGAGGTGGTTTTATGCTATGGCCCCAAGGGGCACAAAGTGGGTAGCTGCCCCTGAGTTCCGCTCGGGCCCTCCATCACAGTTGGAGTCCTGGACAGACGTAGGACAGAATTGGGGGCCCGCAGGTGATATACCGGTACTGCAGAACCGCATTCGAGAGCTTCTTGAGAGGGATATCAACCTTGTCAGCATAATGCAAATGATGCTAATCCGGCGGATGTTGCCGTGCCAACGCCGGCCTTTCTAGATGTGGGAGTTCAATCCGGAGGGTCCGCAGACTGTCAAGCACTTCTTCGGCTTGAAGCCCGAAGAGATGTGCAAATTATTCTTCGGACAGAAAGTAGTATGTCCGGACACCACTGAGGATGCGGGCCTAAGCTATAATCGCCTAGATACCCAAGTAAGTAGCCTTGATACCGGACACCCTGTTTTGTATTTATCATGACTGTTTGTTCTGACAATCAACCGCGTCCAGGAATGGCTCAGCAAGGAGGAGAGAATTAGGTGTCCGGCAGCGCTTCCCGAAGGCTCGCCCGTCCCCACTATGGCCAAGATGCTCGACCGGGTACTCAGCAGAATGCCCTCGGGGAAAAACAAGGGGGGGGGGGGACGAGGAATCCGAACCCCACGCGCTACGCATCCGAATCGGGGGAATTGTTACCTCCCCCAAGGAGGATATTCGGGAAGGGGAGGCTAAGGCCTCCTCTCCGCGCGGGAAGAAGAGGGCCGCCTCCGAAGATCTGGAGGCGGAGATGCCCAAATTAGGGAAAAAGACATCCCCGGGGGGCCTTGCCTTGACGGGCACCCTCACCGCACCATGCCCTCCAACGGGCCAGCCCTCCACCGAGCTGTAAGTCAATTTATGATCCAAAGGTACTGTGTTTCTCCTAGATCAATAACCAGGGTTTAACTTTTTCCAGTCCGACCAGCAGCTCCTCTCAACAGGGTTCGTCTTCGGGGGACCTTCCTCCGAAGATGATGGAGAGCGAAACCCCACCCCCTTCTCCGACTCATGAAGCAGGCGACGTCGAGGTGTCGCCATGGAGGAGTCCGGATCTGCCGCAGCCGGAAGTCAATCCGTCAGCCGCCCTGCACCCGGAGCATTTGGCTACAACGAGGGGCGATGGAAAGAGT